GCATTTATAGGGATGTAATTAAAGCATGGCACTCCATGTATAAGACAACTTGATGTCTTAAGTCTAAGGAGTATTTACAGGACTGACACATGAAAAGTGTTATATAGACATTAGAGTGTATTATCAAATGCACTTTTTATAACTGGTCATGTTTAGAGAATTTATTCTCCTAAGTAAGCATATATATTCTAGTTTCAAGTATCTCTATATTTCAATCCATGAGATCAATTGCTTACTTTCAAAGTAAGAAATATAGAATATATCAGTCTCTAAGTATTATTGATGTCCTATCTCAATGATATATTAGTTAAGAATATTTTGAGATTATACTTTGATGCATAAAGATCTCATAACTATAACTCATTACAGTTCTATTGCAAGGCATATTAATCTCATAGACTTCATCTAATTAGACTTATAACTCATTATAATTAATACCTTATTGATGGAGAAAAACCTATAATCATTCAATATAAATAATATTATTGCATGATTGGAACCAAGCCTTAAATTGGCTGCAAGGTTCATCCCAAAACTCAATGCATCAAAAGTTGAATCCTTTGCACCGACGAGAAGGGCTGAAATAGGATTGATAGTCAAGTCATTGACGAGTGCAACGGCAACCAAGGAGGTGGTGAACCTTAATGGCAAAGTGGGTGAGTTTATGAAGGAAATGATGTTTAAGATCATTCTTGGATGAAGCAAGGATGACAAGTTTAACCTGAAGGCACTTATGCGAGAAGCCTTGGCCTTGGCAGGAGGTTTCAATATAACAGGTTACGTATCTTATCATGCTCCACTTGACCTATGTTCCTATGCTATCATACTTACTGCTTGGTTAAGCATCATGCCTATACTGCTACAATACAAAATTATAGTAACTTTTTGATTTAATTTTATCGATACAAAACAATTTATAAGTTACATATACATATACAAATATGGTCGGATCTAATTAATAATTTTTTATTGGAAGTGCATATTCATAGCCAAAAGCACGTTTTTGAGCAAATTGATTAATTAACCGAATTTGAACCCATTGGGAGCTAAAGTTGCACATATCCTATGAACCATAGATTTATTATCACCCAAGTGATAAAATCATTTGTACTGATTGCCTTTTCAAAAAGTTCTTTATCCCAAATTGAGAAATGGAGAAATCTTCACTAATCTCTAAGGAAAATCAATTGGTGGGTAGAATTTATTATCAAAGTTGCATGTTGTATGGACTGGTTTTGTTTGTCTTTTGCGTGAAGGGAGGCAAGGTTGTGTCGCAAAAGGCTAAGGCAGAGCCATATATAAATTGCCATGCTCTCTAACTATTCTATACTTTCTGATCAATGCTATGATTGGGGTCGGGAAGAGGCTAAGGCTCTTTGTCATAACTCATAAGTGGCCAAAAGTTGGTTTACTGGCTCCTTGCCCTATTGATTTGATTGACCCTGGCTGTCTCAAAGATATATCTTTGTCCAATTAGCTCAAAAAGTTAAAGTGCCAAGTCAGACAAACTTAAATGCACTTAAAATATTATATTGTTTGTTTCTACGATGATGGCTAAAACGATTTTTTGACTAATTTGCTTAGGATTTAGGCGAAATATAGCAGTTTCATTCTCTATGGATTATTACCTAGTTATCATCAGGGATTTGACAAGAAGTTTGAAGGCCTTGACGAAGTTCTGGAGGAGATTATTGATGAACACGAGTAAAAAACTGAGCCCAAACAGCACAAGGATTTTCTAGATGTGATGCTTTCATTGCTAAATCAACCTATGAATCCCAATGATGAGGAGCAAGTACATATATTACTACTTTAACCAACATCAAAGCTATAATCTTAAACATGATCGCAGCTGCAATTAATGCTTCAGCCGCTACAATCGAGTTGGCATTATCCGAACTTTAAGGCAAACTGCAACTTCAAAATGAGTTGGAAAGTGTTGTTGGAATGAATAGAATGGTTGAGGAGATAGATTTAGCAAAATTGACCTACATGGATTTGGTTGTGAAGGAAGTGTTAAGGTTGCACCTCGTGGCACCATTGTTAATTCCACATGAATCAGTTGAAGACATTACCATTGATGGGTATGATATACCAAAGAAATCAAGGATATTAGTCAACATTTGGGCAATGGGACGAGATCCCAATGTGTGGTTCGACAACTTCGAAGAATTTTTTCCAAAAAGATTTCATGGTGGTGACGTAGACCTTGGAGGAGGGCGAGACTTCCGGCTCACTCCATTCGCTTCATGCTGTCGAGGTTGCCCCGGAATGCACTTAGGCTTTACGACTCTTTGCGTTGTTGTAGCGCAACTGGTGCACTGCTTTGATCGGGAGTTACCAAATGGGATGCAGCTTCATGACATAAACATGGACAATAAACCTGGCTTGTTTGTGCCAAGAGCTAATCCCTTGTTTGCCAAGCCAACCTATCGCTTATTTGATAAAAATAAGCAAAAATATGAATTAGATTACTCAAGATTATCATAATCTCTTGTATGGTAAGTTTCTATCTTGCCTTAAGTTTCTTCAATTATTATTATTTTTCAAACTTTCATTCCCTCTTGAAAATTGATTGTTTTCATGGAAAAGATGATAGTGTGAATATTTATATAATTAGTTATCTTACTATTATTATTTTAAACACTATTAATGATTTTAATTATCTTAATTTAAAAAACTTTACTAGATAATATGATCACATGTTTTTTTACCGAATTTAAGTAATTAGTCGAGTTAATATATTTAATCAAACAGATATATACCAAAAAAAAATTTTCTTATTTAGACCCTACTTTTTGAAGCATCTTGGCTTGCCTTATCTCTAAATTTGGTTTTGTAAGTTAAAATTCTACTACGCAAGTATACGTATCTAATAGATAGTATATTAGCAAGCAGAGTATCGATCCCACAGAGAATTGATCTAAAATTTTACTAAGTACTAAAATTAGAACAATTTAGGTTTATTCAAATAATTAAAATATGAATTCTAATTGAACTAAAAATTACGCAATTAAAACTAATTTAATTAAAAATTAAAACAACAAGATAATTGGGCAAACAGCAAATCAAACATGCTTAGGATTACAATATCCCTCACACTTCATCTAAATCTTACCTCTCTTCCTTAACTTATTTTAATGGGTTGAATTGCTAACCTAGAGTCTTAAATTATTTATAAGGGTCTCCCAACTCATCATATAAAAATATCTATTTTAATCAAAACACTATATCCCTATGTGGATTGAAATTATAACAGATTCATTAAGTTTAAGCTCTAATCTGGCTACATATGACCTATAAGTATATCCCTATCCTATACGCAAATCAATTAATATGATCATATGTTATCCCAATTTTAACCTACACTAAACTCTCTTTCCCAAGTTTGTTTAGGTTCTTAGATCAATTTAATTGGTGACCAAACAATTAAAAGCATTAAAAACAAATCAGAATAAACAATTCAAATCCCATTAAAGATAAGTAAGAAATAGATTAAAAGTTAGATTA